TAAAATAAAAATCTAGTAAACAGTATGTAACTCACACTTGTATATTTAAACCAATAAACAATATATCAGTAACTACTATAATGAGATGGCAGGTATCTGATAAGCAATATGCAACTAAAATATATCAGTAACTAGATATATATCTAAAAACATTTTTGAGAAATTTGCTCCTAGTAGGACCAAATCATAGCTCTTTGACAAAAATAATACCTGCTGATGTTTTTTCCATTCATATTACTTATTTAGTTCTAGATTAGGAAACCTATTTCTAACTTTCCAAATTTGCCCTTCAGGCCAAAAAACTTTCGCCAACCAAGCTTCTTCCGCAGGAAGCCCATCCTCCATGTTGCCGTTGCCAGATGCCGCCACCGTTGCCGGACCTCGTCGCTCGTTGCCAGACGCCGCTGCCGGTGCTGGATTTGGGGAACGATTGGGTCCGATTTGGGGAATGATTGGGTCCGATTTGGGGAAGGGGAGCAGGGGAGGAGGGCTGGGGACAGGGGAGTAGGGCTGGGGGCTGGATGTTGGGGGTGAGGGCGGGGTGGCTGGATGTTGGGGGTGAGGGCGGGGTGGCTGGATGTTGGGGGTGAGGGCGGGTGGCTGGTGGTGCTGACTGGCGGTGACCACCGGGGATGGCTCTGTCACTGTGGCGCTGGCGGCATGGATGGGAGGGTAAGGGGCAATTTATTGTCTACTTATTCTCTATTTAATGTCTGATATTTCCTAAAGGTAAGGGTATTGTGGTCAATGTAGATGTAGTTGAGTCTTACGCAAATCTGCGGTCTTAGTTTTGGAAAATCCGTACGTTTTGCTCCTATTTGTTGAAATCTCCCAACATTTTTTCTTTATAACCAAACAAAACATCTTGTCAACTAAATCAGGAGATAGAAAAAACACCAGTGACTTCTAAAAAATATTCATTGCCAAATTATGAAATCAATCTAAAATCATTAGTGGAGTTAATGAGTTTTAATAACCTTGGTTTTAAGGCAAATAAAGAGCTTAAAAATAGTAAAGATTTAACAGAAATAAAGGATGAGAAAAAGGGGAGACAGATTTGCCTGAAAAAGCATAATGAGAAAGTAGAAAACAGAGGAAATAAGGTTTATTAATCTGGACCGCCACCATTTATCTAACAAACAGAACTAAAGTAATTCAAGCAGTAGCTGCTCCGCAGTTTAGATATAATCACTTATCTCTATGAATTTATAGATGTGAATGTGAGCACGAGACCAGTCATTGTTTTCGAAGATTAAAAATAAATTGCATACCTTCATCAGAAATGACGCTGTCTTGATCATCTTCTACTTGTTCTGCACTACTAATCAGCACTGCAGAACACACATTGAATAAAATGCAGTTTACAAGACTAAATTCTGAACAAATTGCTTAATGAGAGAGAAAGGACACCACAGATCATACTCTGAACAATGTCTTAGCATTCCTTGAGTAATAATGATTGCTAACACAACATGCATGCCTTTAAATCAAATCAAATCTAATAATAAAAAATGAATGTATATCGAACATAATGTTTAATCATAAACCAGAACAGCAAAACCACTTTCATAAAAATATAGTAACTCTGTAAAATAATAAATGTTTGGTCAAAGAGAAACAAAATACATAAGTTAGTAACATAAATTCAACTTTTATTTTCCACAAAAATATAGTCGCTAGGGAAAGGGAAATAATAGTACTATCTTACCGTACCTGTTTTCTCAAAGAGAAACAAAATACATAAAATCTTACCCTTTGTATGGAATTTAAGGGCTATATATGCTTTGACTTGCTTTTAGTTTTACCTTTTTTTATATCATAATCAATTTCTAGTAGGAAGAATGTTATGTTACCCTTTGTATCAATATCTTAGCATACCTTTGGTTACAGTAAGACTGATGCAGGAGAAAGCGCTTATAAGCTTATATGAAATCTCTAATTTATCTTTTTTTTTTGAAATCACCGCTTCATCAAGGGAGAAGGTGTGAAGAAGCTAAAGGTCAATAAATTTGCTCTGCAGATATAAGTACAAGCCATAGAGTCCTGGGAGTTAATAGACTCATTGTGATCATGAACGGCAGATGCAAAAGTAGCTACATGGGAAAAAGTAAGAGACAAATTCGTGGATAAATATACACTTCAAATTTCAAAACTAATTTAAAGCGAATAACCATGGAAACATTAAGTATTACCCAGTAACTAAGCATCTACAATTAATGTGAAAAGATCAGCCGCAACAATAATGCCTTGTTTTGAATTGGCAGCAAAGTCTTGTGGAAAATAAAATGTTTAAAAAGTTTAAAATTAGTGAAACTTTAAGTTTCAATTTCAGTTTTCTGAGTTTTAACTAGCTGTCAGTGTAAATTAAAATTTAAGTGTTTACAGTGTGTAAACTAAAACTTCAAGTGTTTCAAAAGTGTAAACTTACACTTGAAAATTCACCGTTGAAATAACCTGATACAGACTTACGCTTGAGCTTGAAGTTTTCAGTTTAAGTAATAAAGTGTCAAGCATTGATGTACAACGTACTTCAAACTTAGAGTGCATTTTGAACTTGAAAATCTCAAACATTTAATCAAACGCCTAACCTACAATGTCAGTTTTAGACAATAATGTATACAAAGTACACAACTACGTACTTCGTGTTATGAAATAAAATAAATTTGAGGAAAGTACGAAATAATCATATCCCAGATTAATATCACACAAAAAAATGTATAAGAAATGTTTCAAAAAAGAATCAAAAACCAAAAATATAAAAGAAAAACAACACATATTAATAATATTCTCACCCTTATTAGTTTTTGCCTTGCTCTGGAATCAAGCTGAAAGTTTAAAACCTTATTAGACCTACTAAAGAAATTAATAGTAAAGTGTATTTTAAAAGAAATTCATACCTTGAAGGATTCCATTGTTCCCTCAGCCTTAACAATACCACCAAGAATTCATGTCCTATCAAGATCACCATTTCTCATGGCTACTATGAACCTGTAAGAATCAACCACACAAAGGGGTGCTTATTTATAAATCATTGTAAGCTTGGTCTTTTTCTAAATCACTAATGTTCAAAATCTGAAATTATCTTGAGAAAAAAAATTAATTAAATTCATTCACATAAATGCATAATCACACTAGCAAATCACAGAAATGGCAGAATCCCAGCAAAACTATACATATTTTCCTCTAGTAGAGGCAAGAATAAGACAAGGTACAAAACAATGGTAATGCTGAAACAATTCTGGGAATTCCTCTACTGTAATGGGCCTGATTGCATTGGTAGCTTGAATTCTGCTTAAAACACTTATCAAGAATACTTTTACCGAAAACCAACATAACATAAAGGGCTAGGTGAATTTATAGACGAGGCTTAAATGAGGGAACACTTTTATCTTCATTTCTATAAATTATTCTAGTTTGAAAAGAAAATCACAGACTATTTAATTTGGTTCATACAGTGAAACTCTATCATTTTTTCCACATTTTACCTTAAACAAATGGGGCACAACATGAATGACATATGAAGCATAAGTAAATAGGAAATAACATTAAATAATGATACTTGCTGTGATATCCAACCCCAACTTATTGGTAAAAAGGAAAAACTCTCCTCTATTTCTGAAATTAAGAACAAAATGTTTTGTTCACACGATTTGATGCTATTATGCTTAACCTATATAATGAAACCAATATCCACACGACAAGAAATGAAGTTACTAGTACGGTGCAGAGGTACATAAATCATAAATTTAAGTTTTATCGCAACATTTAAACAAAGAGAAGATGAAATTAAGGATAAATATTACTAACCTTGTAAAGAAGCTAAGTAGAAAATAAAATCAGATTGAGATGAAGCTAGAGAGAGAAAAGGAACCATATGAAGCTCGAAGGAGGAAGAACACCAGCCCAGATACCACTGTTTGTTGTATTGTCGATTGAGTCACCCGTTGTAGCTGGTTGAGTCGCCCTTCTCGCTGACTAAGTCTCCCTCTGACCGATTGAGTCTCCAATCCCTTTCCCACTGCGGAGTCTCTGATCCCTTACTCGCAGCGACTTCCCTCTGGCCGATTGAGTCTCCGATCCTCTGGCCGATTGAATCTCCGATCCCTCTGAACGATTGAGTCTATGGTCCTCTCGCTGCGGTTTCCCTTTCTTCGCTGAGTATTTTATTTGGACCGACTTGAAGAGTTGAAGAAACAATGGTAGGAAAAGATAAATTCGTAGGGTCGTAGGGTTAAGGGGCATTTGGCCGATTAAAATTTCTGAGCGGCAAAACTAATACTGTTACCAGAGTTAGCGGCAAATTGAAATGTTTAGTCTATTTTCCCATTAAAATTATAAGGTATGTCGACATAAGCATTACAAATGCTAAAAACAATACTTTCAAAAATAGTTAAAGGTAAGTTGGAAAAATGTTAAAAGTAATACGTAGTACTTCTTTTATTGTTTTTTAATTGCAATGTTTCTATTCTCACGTTTATTAGTGTATAATCTTGATCATTGATATATTTTATTTGAAAAAATTCTACTTTTGGTCTCATGACTATTATACCACTTCCACATTTAGTCTCTTACTTTCAGATTATCCACATTAAAATTTACTCCCCAATAAAATTAATAATAATAAGTTTGTAAACATTTTATAGAAGCGCGGATATGTTATTGTCTCAATAAACTTTTAGAAGCGAATGTTTTAGAGGCAGTTATACTTTTGTCTCAAACTTTTGGAGGCAGACATAAAAACGTTGCTCCCAATTGATACTTTTAGAGGCAAGTCCAAAATGGTTGCTCCCAAATGATAGTTTTTAGGGGCAAGTACAATACGGTTGTCTCAAATGATAGTTTTTAGAGGCAACATGACTTATATGATGCTAAAACATACTTTTAGGGACAACGGAATATAAGTTGCCTCAAAGAGTTGCCTCTATAAATCAATTTTTTTGTAGTGTTTGTTGGTCCCGGTTGTACTGGATACAGTCTAGAGGGGGGGGGGTGAATAGACTGTATTGATTTTTAGCTTTTTAAACTAAGTACCAGATTTTATAGAATAGCCTGTTCTGTTGACAGAACAGACTGGCAGCGGATGGGGTTCTGGTAGGGGGTTCTGTTGATTTAGCCTCAGAGAAGCAAAGGCAGTAGGCCTTCTGTTAACTCATAAGACAAGTTCTGCTGAACACAGATACCAAGTCTAAGGAGTTAGACAGTTCTATCTAAGTGCAAATATTAAAACAGTAAGTAAATGACACCAGGGATTTTTATAGTGGTTCAAGGAACAACTCGTTCCTCTAATCCACTGTTCCACTAAGCTTGTAAAAACAACCGTTTACAACGCCTTAGTCCTAGCACTTAAGAAGCTCTCCACGTCTTCTTCAAGCCTAGATGTCTCCTAGGATGCACTGCCTGGCTTCCTTTAAGACTGGTCCTTTCACTGAGCTTCCCGGAAGTATCACCACTTCACTACTCCAGTTACTTGGACGTCCTTCTTGTAACAAGAAGAGTTTCTGTTGAAACAGAGGTTCCTCCAACTAGCTTCGTTACAAAGGATTTGTAGATGAAGTGCTTGAAGTCGTTGAAGAACTGTTGGAACCTTGCTCTTGTTGAATTTAATGATATGAAGTTATATTCTTTCCAACTTGTGTCTCTCTTGTTGAGGATGAGGAGTTTGAATCTCAAGAGGACCTTTTTTGCCTTGAATGATTTGAATGTGTTTTTCTTCGCAAAGAATGTGATGAAGTTGGCAAAGTTAGCAGAGCAAAAGTTCCCTCTTTGTTCTTCGTAGAGTATCTATTATACTTAGGGTTGTCTTCCCGTTGGAGGTGAAGGAGGACAACTGCATTTAATGCGCGTGTTGTTGACTTGACCGGTTGGACCCACTGAATTCGGCGACTTGCTATTTTGAGAAGATTCTTACCAAAAGATGGTCAATTATATGCTTTAAATATCTTCTCGTACGTATCCGCATTAAATGAGCATTTAATGCGCGTACTGTAGCTTTTCCGTTGAAGTCTTCTAGCCGTTAGAGAGTCTTCCGTTGATTTCGCCGGCTTGAAAGTAAACTTGAATTTCTCTAAGTGTCAAGCCTTCTGGTTTCTTTATCAGAGTGTACACCAGAGAGGGTCATGAGCACTTCTGTTACAATGGATGTCAGCAGAGGCCAACAGAGGACCTAAGTGCTTCTGCCTTGGTGAAGTCCAACAGAAGTCAGGAGGACTTCTGTGAAGGCACTATCACCAGAGGGCCAAAAGGGCTTCTGTCTGGGGGTCTTCTGTCAGTTGACTATACTAAAACAATTACAAGGAAAATTCTAATACAAAGTTTTCTAAGGGGTAAAAACAAAATCCTATAGCATCATCAAAATCTAATTACATTTATTCCTTACAATTTCCCCCTTTTTGATGATGCCAAAACCCTTTAACTATTTCCAGAGAAGTGCATTCACCATAAGAGATTTAAAGTAAGAAACTTTTCATTAAAATCTTGGTGGGCAACTTAGCATAGGAAGATAGTAAGAGTACGGTACATTCAGATAGCAGTTCAAAAAGAAACAAGTACTAGAATAAAATAAAGTACAGTAAGCAACAAGGAGTAGAAGTAAAGAGACCAAAGAAGAGGCAGAGGTATTCTTTTATTAGATCAAGAGTTTAAGAGAAGTTTAAAAGGAATTACAGATTCTCCCTTTCAGCTTCAGCTCTGGTTCTGCGATCTTGTTCTTTCAGGCTCTTAAGTTCAGCATTTACTTCTTCTCTTATGCCAGCCAAAGTTCCTGGTGCTTGACAAGAGGCCCAAATGGGGGAGAGCTTGCAGTTCAGATAGTGAAGTACTCCCTCATGTACATCCTTGCCTGGGAGTACTCTCTTGTGAAACCAATATTCAACTTCTTCCAAGGAACCACCATGTCTGACCCTTATATGAACGTCTCTGTCAAGATAGAGATTCTGTCTTTGAGTAGGGGTCATTTTCTGTTGTATTTCTTCAAATTGCGCTCTGTCAATCCTTTGAGAGCCTCCAAGCCTCCACTCAGTTAAGCTCAAGGGTTTCTTCTTCTTGGTAGAACCTCTGCGAGGAGAAGAAGGTCTTGAAGTACTAGCTTCTCTCTTCTTTTGTTGGGAGGCCTGGAAGTAAGGGGTAGGGTCAATATCAGATGAGGATCTCTGTTACCTCTTTAACAGAGATGCTTTCATCAAACTTCACATGTATAGATTCTTCAACATGTAGGGTCCTTCTGTTGAGTACTCTATAGGCTTTACTGGTGTTTGAATAACCTATAAAGACTCCTTCATCAGCCTTCTCTGGAAAGACTTTCAGATGCTCCTTTCCATAGTTAAGAATGTAGCACTTGCATCCAAATACATGAATGTAGCTGATGTTGGGTTTTCTTCCTTTCCAGAGTTCATAAGGGATCTTCTTGTGATTCTTGTTGATCATGCTTCTGTTCTGGGTGTAGCATGCAGTGTTGATTGCTTCAGCCCAGTATCTCATTGGTAGTCCAGATTCTACGATCATTGTTCTTGCAGCTTCTTTCAAGGTTCTGTTCCTTCTTTCTGCTACGCCATTCTGTTGAGGGGTTCTGGCAGCAGAGAGTTGATGAAAAGTCCCATTCTGATCACAGAAGTCCTTTATGACTTGGTTGACAAATTCAGTTCCTCTGTTTGACCTGATTGTCTTCACTTTCAAATTCTTCTCAGTCTGAAGTTGCTTTAACAGAGATGGCAACTTCTGAAGAGTTTCATTTTTCTTTGTTAGAAAGATAGTCCATGTATATCTGGAATAGTCATCCACCATGACAAGTGTGTATCTTTTGCCACTTACACTAGGAGTTTCAACTGGTCCAAATAAATCCATGTGGATCAGATTTAAAGGACTAGTAGAAAGATCTCCAGCAATAGGTTTGAAGGAATTCTTCACGTGTTTGCCCTTCTGACATGCACTGCAGAGGGTCTCCTTCTTGTACACAATGTCTGGTAGCCCTTCTACAATTTGTTCTCTGGCCAGTTTGTTGATTGTCTTGAAATTCAGATGGTTGAGCTTTTTGTGCCAGTCCCAGCTTAGCTTTGAATCTCCTTTTGCTATCAAGCACACACCATCTTTGGCAGTCTTCCGATCAACTACATAGATGTTCTTCTTTCTTGATGCAGTCAGTACCACTTCCTTTGTTGTCTCATGTTTCACATAGCAGAAGTCCTTTGTGAATTCAACAGTGTAGCCTTTGTCACAGAATTGGCTAGCACTCTGCAAGTTGAACTTCAGTCCTTTGACATATGAGACATCATCAATGACTATCTGGTTCTTGATCAGCTTTCCTCTTCCTTTTGTTTGACCTTCTTTGTCATTACCTCCAAAGGTAACTCTAGGTCCTTTGCATTTCTGGAATTCTGTTAGGCAACATCTGTCACCTGTCATGTGCCTGGAGCATCCACTATCAATAAACCATTCTTGTTCAGAGATAGCTCCATCACACAGTTCCTGCAAAATTAAAAGAAAGGTTTAGGTACCCAAGCAATGTTGGGTCCTAGGGGGTCATGCAGTCTTGGCAGCCGGTACCACTTTGGTCTCATTAAGTGAAACCTTGGTGGGTGGTACCCATTATCCACCTGGTAGTCATAGTAAACTGAAGTGTGATTCACTTTGGGCAGATGCTTGTGAGGGTCATGCTTCCTGTTTACATACTTTTGCATAGCTTTCTTTGTTGGAAAGAAGTCCCATATACTATCAAGAGCAGAGGGACGGTTAGCTTTGGGCTTCTGAAGTTGACCAGCCAACCTCTTCTGCCTGAAGTTAACTCTCTCTTGATATCTGCCCTTCTGGTGATCATTTCTGGCACGATTGTCATGAGGTTGTCTGTCAATGAATGGTCTCTTATTTTTGTTATCTTGAAAACCTTTTCTGTTATTAGGTTTTCTGCCAGGTTTAATATTTTTCAAAAAGGGTTTCTGTTGAACCTTTATCTTTCCCTTTTCTGGTCTGACTTCCTCATGAGCAACCTTGGTGCCAGATACACCAGCTTGACAAATGGGGCTAGAAATCAGTGGCACTATGACCTTATCTGCCTTAGCAACACTGGTGTTAGGCATTACAGAAGGCTCACCTGATTCTGTTGAGCCATAACCAAGACCAAAACCAGTGCCAATCTGTTGATCAAGTACAATCTTTTCCATGGAAGACTGGGCCTTCTGGTAAGCTTTGTACTTAATCTCGAGAGGCTCTATTTCTCTTATTCTCTTGAGAAGAGAAACATTTTCAGTCTCCAGTTGATCTCTTTCCTTAATTAGAAGGTTGATTTTGATCTCAACTTCCTTCTTCAAGTCAAGAATCTCAGCTTTTAACTTACTGTTTTCTTCTGTTACAGAGGAATAAGTGGCTTGTATGGCCTTAAACTCTTCCCAAAATTCTGACATTGAATCAGAATCAAAAGCTAAGCCGACCGAAGAAAAACTAGATTCAGAAGTAGAGGTTACCTCATCATCAGATTGAGCCATGAGGCATAGGTCTTCTGTCTCTGTATCTAGGCAACAGAATGCCTCATCAGAATCGGAGTCAGAACTGGATTCTGTCTCTGACAGAGGGTCTTTCTCGACGTGTTCTGTGACGAGTGCTTTTCTTCTTCTGGAATTGTCTTCAAACTTCTTCTTTTCTCCATCATGTCCTTGTTTCTTGGACACCCTTGGATGGGGACAATCAGCCTTGAAGTGACCAGGTTGTCTGCAGTTGTAACAGAGAAGCTCTCCACTGCTCTCTGTTGGTTTGACCTTCTGGTGTGGTTTTCTGCTGGAAGATGGGCTTCTTCCATCTTTAGGATTCTTCATAAACTTTTTGAATCTCCTGGCAAAGGCAGCCATATATTCGTCAGATAAAAGTATTGAAGGGTCAAAATCATTTACCTTAGATGTACTAGCTGTAAGAGCTGTAGTGGTTCTCTCTTCCGGTACATCTTCCTTCTCTTCAATCATCTCGAACTCATGAGCTTTGAGATCAGAGATGAGTTTGTCTGTTGGATAGGTCTTCACATCTTTGCTGGCTTGGACAGCAACCACCTTCATCTTCCATGCAGAAGGAAGACCTCTCAATACTTTGAGGTTGATCTCCTTGGTGGTGAGTTCTTTGCCAAGCTCTGAGATTTCTCCAGTAAGGGTGAGGAGCCTATCATACATCTTGGAGATGGTTTCTCCAGGGAGCAGCTTGAAATCATCAAACTTTTTGTTGGCTATGGTCAGCTTGTTATCTTTCTCTTGCTCATCACCGGCCCCAATGAGCTCGAGAGTATCCCAGATTTCCTTTGTGGTTCTGCATTTCTTTATTCTGTTGAAGTATCTGTCATCAATGGATTTGTAGAGGATGTCCTTAGCAATATTGTCCAGGTTGTATTTTCTTCTCTCTTCAGTGGTCCATTCTGACTTGGCTTTACTGATCATCTGGGGTCTGGTGTTGTCAATAGCATGCTCAGGATTGACCTTCTGGAAGCTTGTGAAAGGTCCAATGTCGAGAACTTCCCACATCTCATCATGCAGAGCACAGAGATGTGATTTCATCCAGATCCTCCAGTCATCAAACTTAAGATCTGATAACATAAGATTCTTGGCAAGAGAGTGATCCATTATATCAGATAGAAATGAGGAGAATAACAGAAAAACAAGTGGATCTTTGTTCAGCAAATAACCTGAGAGATTATTAGAACAAGGAGGCTCTGATACCACTTGTTGGTCCCGGTTGTACTGGATACAGTCTAGAGGGGGGGTGAATAGACTGTATTGATTTTTAGCTTTTTAAACTAAGTACCAGATTTTACAGAATAGCCTGTTCTGTTGACAGAACAGACTGGCAGCGGATGAGGTTCTGGTAGGGGGTTCTGTTGATTTAGCCTCAGAGAAGCAAAGGCAGTAGGCCTTCTGTTAACTCGTAAGACAAGTTCTGCTGAACACAGATACCAAGTCTAAGGAGTTAGACAGTTCTATCTAAGTGCAAATATTAAAACAGTAAGTAAATGACACCAGGGATTTTTATAGTGGTTCAAGGAACAACTCGTTCCTCTAATCCACTGTTCCACTAAGCTTGTAAAAACGACCGTTTACAACGCCTTAGTCCTAGCACTTAAGAAGCTCTCCACGTCTTCTTCAAGCCTAGATGTCTCCTGGGATGCACTGCCTGGCTTCCTTTAAGACTGGTCCTTTCACTGAGCTTCCCGGAAGTATCACCACTTCACTACTCCAGTTACTTGGACGTCCTTCTTGTAACAAGAAGAGTTTCTGTTGAAACAGGGGTTCCTCCAACTAGCTTCGTTACAAACTATTTGTAGATGAAGTGCTTGAAGTTGTTGAAGAACTGTTGGAACCTTGCTCTTGTTGAATTTAATGATATGAAGTTATATTCTTTCCAACTTGTCTCTCTTGTTGAGGATGAGGAGTTTGAATCTCAAGAGGACCTTTTTTGCCTTGAATGATTTGAATGTGTTTTTCTTCGCAAAGAATGTGATGAAGTTGGCAAAGTTAGCAGAGCAAAAGTTCCCTCTTTGTTCTTCGTAGAGTATCTTTTATACTTAGGGTTGTTTTCCCGTTGGAGGTGAAGGAGGACAACTGCATTTAATGCGCGTGTTGTTGACTTGACTGGTTGGACCCACTGAATTCGGCGACTTGCTATTTTGAGAAGATTCTTACCAAAAGATGGTCAATTATATGCTTTAAATATCTTCTCGTACGTATCCGCATTAAATGAGCATTTAATGCGCGTACTGTAGCTTTTCCGTTGAAGTCTTCTAGCCGTTAGAGAATCTTCCGTTGATTTCGCCGGCTTGAAAGTAAACTTGAATTTCTCTAAGTGTCAAGCCTTCTGGTTTCTTTATCAGAGTGTACACCAGAGAGGGTCATGAGCACTTCTGTTACAATGGATGTCAGCAGAGGGTCTCCAGTCCTTCTGTTCTGTTAGAGGCCAATAGAGGATCTAAGTGCTTCTGCCTTGGTGAAGTCCAACAGAAGTCAGGAGGACTTATGTGAAGGCACTATCACTAGAGGGCCAAAAGGGCTTCTGTCTGGGGGTCTTCTGTCAGTTGACTATACTAAAACAATTACAAGGAAAATTCTAATACAAAGTTTTCTAAGGGGTAAAAACAAAATCCTATAGCATCATCAAAATCTAATTACATTTATTCCTTACAATTTCCCCCTTTTTGATGATGCCAAAACCCTTTAACTATTTTCAGAGAAGTGCCTTCACCATAAGAGATTTAAAGTAAGAAACTTTTCATTAAAATCTTGGTGGGCAACTTAGCATAGGAAGATAGTAAGAGTACGGTACATTCAGATAGCAGTTCAAAAAGAAACAAGTACTAGAATAAATAAAGTACAGTAAGCAACAAGGAGTAGAAGTAAAGAGACCTTAGAAGAGGCAGAGGTATTCTTTTATTAGATCAAGAGTTTAAGAGAAGTTTAAAAGGAATTACAGATTCTCCCTTTCAGCTTCAGCTCTGGTTCTACGATCTTGTTCTTTCAGGCTCTTAAGTTCAGCATTTACTTCTTCTCTTATGCCATCCAAAGTTCCTGGTGCTTGACAAGAGGCCCAAATGGGGGAGAGCTTGCAGTTCAGATAGTGAAGTACTCCCTCATGTACATCCTTGCCTGGGAGTACTCTCTTGTGAAACCAATATTTAGCTTCTTCCAAGGAACCACCATGTCTGACGCTTATATGACCGTTTCTGTCAAGATAGAGATTCTGTCTTTGAGTAGGGGTCATTTTCTGTTGTATTTCTTCAAATTGCGCTCTGTCAATCCTTTGAGAGCCTCCAAGCCTCCACTCAGTTAAGCTCAAGGGTTTCTTCTTCTTGGTAGAACCTTTGCGAGGAGAAGAAGGTCTTGAAGTACCAGCTTCTCTCTTCTTTTGTTGGGAGGCCTGGAAGTAAGGGGTAGGGTCAATATCAGATGAGGATCTCTGTTACCTCTTTAACAGAGATGCTTTCATCAAACTTCACATGTATAGATTCTTCAACATGTAGGGTCCTTCTGTTGAGTACTCTATAGGCTTTACTGGTGTTTGAATAACCTATAAAGACTCCTTCATCAGCCTTCTCTGGAAAGACTTTCAGATGCTCCTTTCCATAGTTAAGAATGTAGCACTTGCATCCAAATACATGAATGTAGCTGATGTTGGGTTTTCTTCCTTTCCAGAGTTCATAAGGGATCTTCTTGTGATTCTTGTTGATCATGCTTCTGTTCTGGGTGTAGCATGCAGTGTTGATTGCTTCAGCCCAGTATCTCATTGGTAGTCCAGATTCTACGATCATTGTTCTTGCAGCTTCTTTCAAGGTTCTGTTCCTTCTTTCTGCTACGCCATTCTGTTGAGGGGTTCTGGCAGCAGAGAGTTGATGAAAAGTCCCATTCTGATCACAGAAGTCCTTTATGACTTGGTTGACAAATTCAGTTCCTCTGTTTGACCTGATTGTCTTCACTTTCAAATTCTTCTCAGTCTGAAGTTGCTTTAACAGAGATGGCAACTTCTGAAGAGTTTCATTTTTCTTTGTTAGAAAGATAGTCCATGTATATCTGGAATAGTCATCCACCATGACAAGTGTGTATCTTTTGCCACTTACACTAGGAGTTTCAACTGGTCCAAATAAATCCATGTGGATCAGATTTAAAGGACTAGTAGAAAGATCTCCAGCAATAGGTTTGAAGGAATTCTTCACGTGTTTGCCCTTCTGACATGCACTGCAGAGGGTCTCCTTCTTGTACACAATGTCTGGTAGCCCTTCTACAATTTGTTCTCTGGCCAGTTTGTTGATTGTCTTGAAATTCAGATGGTTGAGCTTTTTGTGCCAGTCCCAGCTTAGCTTTGAATCTCCTTTTGCTATCAAGCACACACCATCTTTGGCAGTCTTCCGATCAACTACATAGATGTTCTTCTTTCTTGATGCAGTCAGTACCACTTCCTTTGTTGTCTCATGTTTCACATAGCAGAAGTCCTTTGTGAATTCAACAGTGTAGCCTTTGTCACAGAATTGGCTAGCACTCTGCAAGTTGAACTTCAGTCCTTTGACATATGAGACATCATCAATGACTATCTGGTTCTTGATCAGCTTTCCTCTTCCTTTTGTTTGACCTTCTTTGTCATTACCTCCAAAGGTAACTCTAGGTCCTTTGCATTTCTGGAATTCTGTTAGGCAACATCTGTCACCTGTCATGTGCCTGGAGCATCCACTATCAATAAACCATTCTTGTTCAGAGATAGCTCCATCACACAGTTCCTGCAAAATTAAAAGAAAGGTTTAGGTACCCAAGCAATGTTGGGTCCTAGGGGGTCATGCAGTCTTGGCAGCCGGTACCACTTTGGTCTCATTAAGTGAAACCTTGGTGGGTGGTACCCATTATCCACCTGGTAGTCATAGTAAACTGAAGTGTGATTCACTTTGGGCAGATGCTTGTGAGGGTCATGCTTCCTGTTTACATACTTTTGCATAGCTTTCTTTGTTGGAAAGAAGTCCCATATACTATCAAGAGCAGAGGGACGGTTAGCTTTGGGCTTCTGAAGTTGACCAGCCAACCTCTTCTGCCTGAAGTTAACTCTCTCTTGATATCTGCCCTTCTGGTGATCATTTCTGGCACGATTGTCATGAGGTTGTCTGTCAATGAATGGTCTCTTATTTTTGTTATCTTGAAAACCTTTTCTGTTATTAGGTTTTCTGCCAGGTTCAATATTTTTCAAAAAGGGTTTCTGTTGAACCTTTATCTTTCCCTTTTCTGGTCTGACTTCCTCATGAGCAACCTTGGTGCCAGATACACCAGCTTGACAAATGGGGCTAGAAATCAGTGGCACTATGACCTTATCTGCCTTAGCAACACTGGTGTTAGGCATTACAGAAGGCTCACCTGATTCTGTTGAGCCATAACCAAGACCAAAACCAGTGCCAATCTGTTGATCAAGTACAATCTTTTCCATGGAAGACTGGGCCTTCTGGTAAGCTTTGTACTTAATCTCGAGAGGCTCTATTTCTCTTATTCTCTTGAGAAGAGAAACATTTTCAGTCTCCAGTTGATCTCTTTCCTTAATTAGAAGGTTGATTTTGATCTCAACTTCCTTCTTCAAGTCAAGAATCTCAGCTTTTAACTTACTGTTTTCTTCTGTTACAGAGGAATAAGTGGCTTGTATGGCCTTAAACTCTTCCCAAAATTCTGACATTGAATCAGAATCAAAAGCTAAGCCTACCGAAGAAAAACTAGATTCAGAAGTAGAGGTTACCTCATCATCAGATTGAGCCATGAGGCATAGGTCTTCTGTCTCTGTATCTAGGCAACAGAATGCCTCATCAGAATCGGAGTCAGAACTGGATTCTGTCTCTGACAGAGGGTCTTTCTCGACGTGTTCTGTGACGAGTGCTTTTCTTCTTCTGGAATTGTCTTCAAACTTCTTCTTTTCTCCATCATGTCCTTGTTTCTTGGACACCCTTGGATGGGGACAATCAGCCTTGAAGTGACCAGGTTGTCTGCAGTTGTAACAGAGAAGCTCTCCACTGCTCTCTGTTGGTTTGACCTTCTGGTGTGGTTTTCTGCTGGAAGATGGGCTTCTTCCATCTTTAGGATTCTTCATAAACTTTTTGAATCTCCTGGCAAAGGCAGCCATATATTCGTCAGATAAAAGTATTGAAGGGTCAAAATCATTTACCTTAGATGTACTAGCTGTAAGAGCTGTAGTGGTTCTCTCTTCCGGTACATCTTCCTTCTCTTCAATCATCTCGAACTCATGAGCTTTGAGATCAGAGATGAGTTTGTCTGTTGGATAGGTCTTCACATCTTTGCTGGCTTGGACAGCAACCACCTTCATCTTCCATGCAGAAGGAAGACCTCTCAATACTTTGAGGTTGATCTCCTTGGTGGTGAGTTCTTTGCCAAGCTCTGAGATTTCTCCAGTAAGGGTGAGGAGCCTATCATACATCTTGGAGATGGTTTCTCCAGGGAGCAGCTTGAAATCATCAAACTTTTTGTTGGCTATGGTCAGCTTGTTATCTTTCTCTTGCTCATCACCGGCCCCAATGAGCTCGAGAGTATCCCAGATTTCCTTTGTGGTTCTGCATTTCTTTATTCTGTTGAAGTATCTGTCATCAATGGATTTGTAGAGGATGTCCTTAGCAATATTGTCCAGGTTGTATTTTCTTCTCTCTTCAGTGGTCCATTCTGACTTGGCTTTACTGATCATCTGGGGTCTGGTGTTGTCAATAGCATGCTCAGGATTGACCTTCTGGAAGCTTGTGAAAGGTCCAATGTCGAGAACTTCCCACATCTCATCATGCAGAGCACAGAGATGTGATTTCATCCAGATCCTCCAGTCATCAAACTTAAGATCTGATAACATAAGATTCTTGGCAAGAGAGTGATCCATTATATCAGATAGAAATGAGGAGAATAACAGAAAAACAAGTGGATCTTTGTTCAGCAAATAACCTGAGAGATTATTAGAACAAGGAGGCTCTGATACCACTTGTTGGTCCCGGTTGTACTGGATACAGTCTAGAGGGGGGGTGAATAGACTGTATTGATTTTTAGATTTTAAACTAAGTACCAGATTTTACAGAATAGCCTGTTCTGTTGACAGAACAGACTGGCAGCGGATGGGGTTCTGGTAGGGGGTTCTGTTGATTTAGCCTCAGAGAAGCAAAGGCAGTAGGCCTTCTGTTAACTCGTAAGACAAGTTCTGCTGAACACAGATACCAAGTCTAAGGAGTTAGACAGTTCTATCTAAGTGCAAATATTAAAACAGTAAGTAAATGACACCAGGGATTTTTATAGTGGTTCAAGGAACAACTCGTTCCTCTAATCCACTGTTCCACTAAGCTTGTAAAAACGACCGTTTACAACGCCTTAGTCCTAGCACTTAAGAAGCTCTCCACGTCTTCTTCAAGCCTAGATGTCTCCTGGGATGCACTGCCTGGCTTCCTTTAAGACTGGTCCTTTCACTGAGCTTCCCGGAAGTATCACCACTTCACTACTCCAGTTACTTGGACGTCCTTCTTGTAACAAGAAGAGTTTCTGTTGAAACAGGGGTTCCTCCAACTAGCTTCGTTACAAAGGATTTGTAGATGAAGTGCTTGAAGTTGTTGAAGAACTGTTGGAACCTTGCTCTTGTTGAATTTAATGATATGAAGTTATATTCTTTCCAACTTGTGTCTCTCTTGTTGAGGATGAGGAGTTTGAATCTCAAGAGGACCTTTTTTGCCTTGAATGATTTGAATGTGTTTTTCTTCGCAAAGAATGTGTTGAAGTTGGCAAAGTTAGCAGAGCAAAAGTTCCCTCTTTGTTCTTCGTAGAGTATCTTTTATACTTAGGGTTGTCTTCCCGTTGGAGGTGAAGGAGGACAACTGCATTTAATGCGCGTGTTGTTGACTTGACCGGTTGGACCCACTGAATTCGGCGACTTGCTATTTTGAGAAGATTCTTACCAAAAGATGGTCAATTATATGCTTTAAATATCTTCTCGTACGTATCCGCATTAAATGAGCATTTAATGCGCGTACTGTAGCTTTTCCGTTGAAGTCTTCTAGCCGTTAGAGAATCTTCCGTTGATTTCGCCGGCTTGAAAGTAAACTTGAATTTCTCTAAGTGTCAAGCCTTCTGGTTTCTTTATCAGAGTGTACACCAGAGAGGGTCATGAGCACTTCTGTTACAATGGATGTCAGCAGAGGGTGTCCAGTCCTTCTGTTCTGTTAGAGGCCAACAAAGGACCTAAGTGCTTCTGCCTTGGTGAAGTCCAACGGAAGTCAGGAGGACTTCTGTGAAGGCACTATCACCAGAGGGCTAAAAGGGCTTCTGTCTAGGGGTCTTCTGTCAGTTGACTATACTAAAACAATTACAAGGAAAATTCTAATACAAAGTTTTCTAAGGGGTAAAAACAAAATCCTATAGCATCATCAAAATCTAATTACATTTATTCCTTACATGGTTCATATGAGGACAATGGTGGAAACTTTGCTTTTATGGTCCTCTCTTCCGGTTGGAAATCTTCTTCGAGGCCAACCTCCTTTTTATCTTGCTCTTCTTCCCTATGCACCTCTTTCAATGTCGTCCCACTCCTCAACATGATTGCATTAACATATTGTCTTGGGTTTTGCTCCGTTTGAGAGGGGAGTCTACCTGAATCTTTTGCCTCGAGCCGACTCACAGCACTCGAAATTTGGCTCATTTGGTTCTCCAAATTTTGAATGCTAGATTTAGTCGTTTCTTGAAATTGGGCCACACTTTGTTGTATCGTTGATACACTCATGGTAAGTGCTCGAATCATGTCTTCAGTGGACATATTCGAGCTTGAAGTTTGGCCTTGGGAGGGCTGGTTGTATTGTTGGGAAGAAAAATTTAGTTGTTGAGGATTTCCATACCTTAAATTTGGATGATCTCTCCATCCTGGATTGTATGTGTTGCCATGCGGATCGTACCTCCTTTGACCTTGGAACCCCAATGCGTTGACTTGTGCGGGTTTCTCCTCTTGTAGTGTTGGGCAAGAATCGGTGGGATGCCCTTGTGTTGAACATAGGCCGCAGACCTTGACTTCTTTTGTTTTTGGATTTAAGAGAAAATCTTTAACCAAAGAAGTCAAGCCGGCCACTTGACTTTCCAACGAGGTGTTAGATTCTGCCGCCATAACTCTTTTTGATGACCGCCGGTCATAGTGTCTACAATTCTCGGCCAACTCCGAGATAAGATTCCTAGCTTGAGAAGGGGTTTTGTTTACAATTCCTCCTCCACATGCGGCGTTGATCATCCGCTTATCATCATTGCAAAGACCATCATAGAAGTATAGGATGAGGTCTTGCTCCGAATAGCCGTGGTATGGACAACTCGCACAAAGTTTCTTGAATCGTTCCCAATATTCGTAGAACGATTCATCATCTTGCTGCTCTACATTGCTGATTTTCTTTTTGAGAGATGAGGAGACAGAGGCAAGATAGTACCTTTCGAGGAAAGCTTTCTTCATGGCCGCCCATGTACCTATACTTCCCGAAGGAAGATAGAATAGCCAATCTTTTGCGATATCTTTTAGGGAGAACAGAAAGGCCCTCAAATTGATCTGCTCCTCGGTAACTCCATTTGGGCACATGCTTGTGCAAACAATATGGAATTACGATAGATGTTTGTTTGGGTCCTCGCCCCGTAGACCATGGAATGAAGGAAGGAGATGGATGAGCCCCGATTTGAGCTCAAATGTAGCACCTTCATCAAGAGTAGGGAAGGTGATACATAGCGGTTGTTGGTTAAGATCAGGAGTCGTGAGCTCCCTCAACATTCTCGTTTCAAGAGCCATAGTGATTGGCTCTTCGGTGTCGCTAGAATGAGAACCAGCACTTGATGATTCCTCCGAAGAAGTATTCGGAAATAAATTCCTGAACCTCTCGAAGGCTTGTTCTTTTTCGGGCTTTGTTTGGTAGGTGATTTGGTTTATAGATCGGTGTTTAACCATATACTCAAATAAAGCTCGGAAGAATAGAAATCTAAGAACTCTTTATATTTTGTTGATTTAATTTTTTTTTCTTGAAATGAAATAAAAAGAAAAATTAATTGTCTTTCCCTGGCTACGGCGCCAAATTTGACGTGCACTTTGTCACGGTGCGTCAAAATAATTCGATACTAACACTTATACGTAGTATAGGTGAAGTAGAGTTCGTATCCACAGGGAAAGGAATAATTCTCTTTTTATGAAACTTAGTAAATAAAGGGGGGATTTGGATTGAGTGATTTAATTTAATTAAAAACTAAGATGAACGACTTATATGAGATTTAATTCAAAGATAAAAAGGACTTCACATTGCTACTTTCCACTTGTTGATATATTTTAGTCGATCATTGTTATATCTATAACTTATTTCCTCTCGAATACTCAATCGAGGAGTATATCCAATTCATCGAGGGTAGTTATTAACAACGACCATTCATTAATAACCCTTACTATTAGTCAAGTATAGAACACCGCCATATACCGACTTGATAGTAGCTTTTAATCTTGTAACTCCTTAATGAAATCAATTGAGATTGATAACCTCAACACAACGGTTTCGATTTAACCAACAAAATTAATCCCTCTTAAGTTTATCAACCACGACCGTGCATTGATAAACCGAAGTTACTTACTTGTGAAACCATCAACGATTAACCATCGGTTCGTCGATCGTTTCTAATGATAATTAATATATGAAACAAAACTAGTTGATCCTTTAAGTGATGTTCAAAACATTAATATAAAATATGAATAGGAATTAATTAATATTCAAGGAAGAATATTATTAAAGGAGATGAATCCTACTATAATTAATATCAAGATGTTAACTAATTGTCATCTAAGCAACACTCCCCAACATTAATATAGAGGAAGAAAATACTATTCTAACTAATATCGAGATGTTAACTAATTGTCATCTTAGCAACACTCTCCAACATTAATATATAGATAGTATTTAGAAAAGAACTAATAATTAATATTCAAGGAAAGAAGTTTAAGAAAATAACTCACAACTTTAATAATCAACAAGCTTCAAGAGCAACACCAAGAATGGAAGTTTAGCTCCTCATTTGGAGACTAAACATGCTATAAAAATATAAGAAATGCTATTCTAAACTGAGCTTAGGAGTATAGAAGAAGGGATGATTCTTTTAGAGAAGAAAAAGAGTGCTATTTATAGGTGTTTTTCAACACCTTTGGCCGGGTACCCGACTGGGTCAAGTACTTACCCGACCGGGTCCGGTCAAACTCAGATAATTCACCACGATGTGGTGATCTTCGCACACCGGGTTGTCCTCGGTCACTTCTCACCCGACCGGGTGAGGTATGGGGCCCGACCGGGTCCAGCTCTTTCCTTAGCAATTCAGTTTTCAAATCAGATCCGATCGGGTGAAGTTTCCTACCCGGTCGAGTATTTGCTCCTGGACAGTCAAAATTCCTTTTTCTTCACTTCAACATCCTCCTTTTCAACATCCTAATTCCTAATTCTACTTTACAACTTACAAATGAGAACTAAAATACAATTACAACTAAAATCACACAAATGTTTACAAACTAAATAAAATGTCAAACAATCATCATCAATGAAACATAAAGACATATAATTATGCACTACTAATTAGTGTGCATCAGGCAGCACCAGATGTTACAACTTTTATCCGTTCCAAGGCAGCTGCTTATCCTATTTTTGAGATGATCGAGAGAAATGTGGCCAACAAAACTGGCTCAAAGAGTGGGAGGAACCTGAACAAATCAGATGGACACGTCCAATTCAAGGATGTTGGATGTTATGTCTTGATACCACCAGACAAGATTGGTGTTGGATGTTGCTGGATTTTTTGTCATGTTTTGTCTAGGCTCCAGCAGAGTATTTTTTGATTTTGCAAACCTAGAATGCAAACTACAACTACAATGTAGCTTTAGTTTGGAAATGAATATTGTACATTAAACGTTCAATCTATGGTTTGAGATTTATTGATTTTGTTATCGTTTATGGGTTTACTGAATATTGAATTGGAATTTCAAAAATATAATTGATTTGGAATTTCAAAATTATATTGTTTTGGAATGCTTAGTGATACCAAAGTGTCACTATTTAGTGATACTTTAGTGTCACTAGAGTATATGATGTAAAAGTGTCGCTGATGGAGTATATGGGCCTGGACCCCAGGACCCACATACTCAAAAGAACAGAAGGCACAGCTGTCACCTAGTGGAACCCTCATCGGCCATATGACCCTCATCGGCCGAAACGAAGTCAACCCAGAATATGATCCGGGAGTCAGGAGAACCGAGTGACCTCGTCGGCCGGGTCTTCGTCGGCCATGCACTCATCGGCCAGACCCTCGTCGTCCATAAAGGCCTCCCAGAACAGGATTTTGCACTTAATCATTTGTATACTCTACCATTTACTTTGTATTCGGCCCAATAGCGGTCCAGTTGTAAACGGACATCCCAAGCCAAGACCTGAGGGCCCAGCCCTAATTTTTCCTAAAAAAACTCCCTCTGGGAGTAGTTATGGGGGTTCTGAAATTCATTAATACAGAACAATTATACTACTTCTCTCTCTAGCTCTCACTTCTCTTTAGATTTACTCTATCAGTCGCCGAATAGCCATGATGGATAAGTGTACACGGGGGGTACCTATCCGAGGGGTTACTGCGGGGAATAACTAGAGAGAAGTCAGAGCAAGAGTAAGAGAGAGAATTGTAAGGAATAATTGTATTTAGATTTTGATGATGCTATATTAATTAGGACTGTAGAGTACCCCTTTAGAAATTATGTATTAGAATTTTCCCTTGTAAAGTTCTTAGCATATTCGACCACCAGAAGGCCTCTCTACCAGAAGTCCTCCAGACAGAAGATCTTGGTTCTCTGTCTAGGAACAGAATACGTCAGGGTCTCTGTTACCCATTAGCGTGACAGAAAGCCTCCTGGTTCTCTGTAAGCTACCAACAACAGAAGTGCTCATGATCTTCTCTGATTCAGTTGTCTGTCAATAACACCAGAAGGTCTGACACTTGGAAGAAATCCACAAAGCCGGGAAGTCAACTTAAAGATTCCTTCAACGGCTAGGAGTATGAAACGGAAAAGCTACAGTGCTCGCATTAAATGCTCATTTAATGCTCCCCATGCTCCGTGGAGTAATTGCAGATGATTGGCCGCAATGTCAGGATTACTTTATCCCAAAATAGTAACCCGCCAACTTTACCGGGTCCTACTGGTCAAGTCAACTGCTCGCGCATTAAATGCAGTTGTCCTCCTACTCCTCCAACGGGAAGACAACCTCAGTATAAAAGATACACTACGAAGAACAACCGGATAACTTTGCAACCTTGATTCAACTTTGCAACCTTGATTCAACTTTGCAACCTTGATTCAACTTTGCTATTACATTACTACAAGCAAGATATTCAAACTCTGAAAAGCAAAAGCCTCCTTGAGATTCAAACTCACTATCCTCTACAAGAGAAGGCAGAAGTTGGAAAAATACTCTTTCCAACTCAAGCAAAGTTCCAAGTGTTCTTCAACTCTTCAAGCTCTTCACATACAAATCTTTTGTAACGAAGCTAGTTGGAGGAACCCCTGTTTCAACAGAAACTCTTCTTGCTACAAGAAGGACGTCCGAATAACTGGAGTAGTGAAGTGGTGATACTTCAAGGAGACTCAGTGAAAGGACCAGTGTTAAAGGAAGCCAGGCAGTGCATCCCAGGACACATCTAGGCTTGAAGGAGACGTGAAGTGCTTCTTAAGTGCTAGGACTAAGGCTTTGTAAACGGCAGTTTTTACAGCTTAGTGGAACAGTGGATTAGAGGAACGAGTTGTTCCTTGAACCACTATAAAAATCCCTGGTGTCGTTTACTTACTGCTTTTAATACTTGCACTTAGATAGAACTGAATAACTCCTAGGACTTGGTATCTGTGTTCAGCAGAACTGGTTCTACGAGTTAACAGAAGGCCTTCTGCCTTTGCTTCTCTGAGGCTAACAGAACTCCCTGCCAGAACCCCATCCGCTGCCAGTCTGTTCTTTCAACAGAACAGGCTATTCTGTAAATCTGGTACTTAGTTTAAAAAGCTAAAAACCAATACAGTCTATTCACCCCCCCTCTAGACTGTATCCAGTATAATCGGGACCAACAAGTGGTATCAGAGCCTCCTTGTTCTAATAATCTTTTAGGTTATTTGTTGAACAAAGATCCACTTGTTTTTCTGTTTTACCTCATTTCTATCTGATATAATGGATCACTCCCTGTCCAAGAATCTTATGTTTTCAGATCTTAAGTTTGATGACTGGAGGATCCGGATGAAAGCACATCTCTGTGCCCTGCATGATGAGATGTGGGAAGTTCTTGATATTGGCCCCTTCACTAGCTTCCAGAAGGTCAACCCTGAACATGCCATAGACAATACCAGACCCCAGATGATTAGCAAAGCCAAGTCAGAATGGACCACTGAAGAGAGGAGAAAGTACAACTTAGACAATATTGCCAAGGACATCCTCTACAAGTCCATTGATGATAGATACTTCAACAGAATCAAGAAGTGCAAGACTGCTAAGGAGATCTGGGATACTCTTGAGCTCATTGGAGCTGGTGATGAGCAAGAGAAGGACAACAAACTAACCATAGCCAACAAGAAGTTTGATGACTTCAAACTTCTCCCTGGTGAAAGCATCTCCAAGATGTATGACAGGCTCCTCACTCTCACTGGAGAGATTTCTGAGCTTGGCAAGGATCTCACAACCAAGGAGATCAACCTGAAGGTGTTGAGGGGACTGCCCTCAGCATGGAAGATGAAAGTAGTTGCTGTCCAAACAAGCAAGGATGTAAAGACTTATCCAACTGATAAGCTCATTTCAGATCTCAAAGCTCATGAGTTTGAAATGATTGAAGAAAAGGAAGATGTACCAGAAGAGAGGACCACTACAGCCCTCACAGCCAGCACATCTAAGGTAAATGATTTTGACCCTTCAGTACTTTTATCTGATGAATATATGGCTGCCTTTGCCAGGAGATTCAAAAAGTTTATGAAGAATCCCAAAGATGGAAGGAGTCCATCTTTCAACAGAAAGCCATACCAGAAGGTCAAATCAACAGAAAGCAGTGGAGAGCTTCTCTGTTACACTGCAGACAACCTGGTCACTTCAAGGCTGATTGTCCCCATCCTAGAGTGTTCAAGAAGCAAGGACAGGATGGAGAAAAGAAGAAGTACGAGGACAACTCCAGAAGGAAAAAGGCACTTGTGACAGAACAGGTGGAGAAAGACCCTCTGTCAGAAACAGAATCCAGTTCTGACTCAGATTCTGATGAGGCCTTCTGTTGCCTGGATACTGAGACAGAAGACCTTTGCCTGATGGCTCATTCTGATGAAGAGGTAACCTCTACTTCTGAATCTAGTTTTTCTTCGGTAGGCTTAGCTTTTGATTCTGATTCAATGTCAGAATTTTGGGAAGAGTTTAAGGCCATACAAGCCACTTATTCTTCTGTAACAGAAGAAAACAGTAAGTTAAAAGCTGAAATTCTTGACTTAAATAAGGAGGTTGAGATCAAAATCAATCTTCTAATTGAGGAAAGAGATCAACTGGAGACTGAAAATGTTTCTCTACTTAAGAGAATAAGAGAAATAGAGCCTCTCGAGATTAAGTACAAAGCTTACCAGAAGGCCCAGTCTTCCATGGAAAAGATTGTGCTTGATCAACAGATTGGCACTGGTTTTGGTCTTGGTTATGGCTCAACAGAATCAGGTGAGCCTTCTGTAATGCCTAGCACCAGAGTTGCTAAGGCAGATAAGGTCATAGAGCCACTGATTTCTAGCCCCATCTGTCAAGCTGGTGTATCTGGCACCAAGGTTGTTCATGAGGAAGTCAGACCAGAAAAGGGTAAGATAAAGGTTCAACAGAAACCCTTTTTGAAAAATAATGAACCTGGCAGAAAACCTAACAACAGAAGAGGTTTTCAGAATAACAAAAATAAAAGACCATTCATTGACAGACAACCTCATGTCAATCGTGCCAGAGATGATCACCAGAAGGGCAAATATCAAGAGAGAGTTAACTTCAGGAAGAAGAGGTTGGCTGGTCAACTTCAGAAGCCCAAAGTTAACCGTCCCTCCGCTCTTGATAGTATATGGGACTTCTTTCCAACAAAGAAAGCTATGCAAAAGTATGTAAACAGGAAGCATGACCCTCACAAGCATCTGCCCAAAGTGAATCACACTTCTGTCTACTACAACTACCAGGTGGACAATGGGTACCACCCACCAAGGTTTCACTTGATGAGACCAAAATGGTACCAACTACCCAGACTCCATGACCCCCCAGGACCCAGCATTGCTTGGGTACCTAAATCTTTCTTTTGATCTTGCAGGAACTGTGTGCTGGAGCTATCTCTGAACAAGAATGGTTTATTGATAGTGGATGCTCCAGGCACATAACAGGTGACAAAAGTTGCCTAACAGAGTTCCAGAAATGCAAAGGACCTAGAGTTACCTTTGGAGGTAATGACAAAGAAGGTCAAACAAAAGGAAGAGGAAAGTTGATCAAGAACCAGATCACCATTGATGATGTCTCATATGTCAAAGGACTGAAGTTCAACTTGCTGAGTGCTAGCCAGTTCTGTGACAAAGGCTACACTGTTGAATTCACAAAGGACTTCTGCTATGTGAAGCATGAGACAACAAAGGAAGTGGTTCTTACAGCATCAAGGAAAAAAAACATCTATGTAGTTGATTGGAACACTGCAAAAGATGGAGTTTGCCTGATAGCCAAGGGAGATTCAAAACTGAGCTGGGACTGGCACAAAAAGCTCAACCATTTGAATTTCAAAACAATCAACAAACTAGCAAGGGAACACATTGTAGAAGGGCTACCAGACATTGTGTACAAGAAGGAGACCCTCTGCAGTGCATGTCAGAAAGGCAAACAAGTGAAGAATTCCTTCAAACCCATTGCTGGAGATTTTTGTACAAGTCCTCTAAATCTGATTCACATGGATTTA